CCTCCTCCTCCTCCTTTCGTCTCGTCCTTCTCTCCTCCTCCTCCTCCTCCTTTCGTCTTGTCCTTCTCTCCTCCTCCTCCTTTCGTCTTGTCCTTCTCTCCTCCTCCTCCTCCTTTCGTCTTKTCCTTCTCTCCTCCTCCTCCTCTTCTTCTTCTTCTTCTCTCCTCCTCCTCCTCCTCCTGTCGTCTTGTCCTTCTCTCCTCCTCCTCCCCCTTTGTTCTTCTCTCCTCCTCCTCCTCCTCCTTTCATCATCTTCTCCTTCCTCCTTTCTTTATCTTCTTCCTCTTCTTCCTCCTCCTCCTCCTTGTTCTTCTCTCCTCCTCCTCCTCCTCCTTTCGTTTTTCAAGTCTCCATCTTTTTTCTCCTCCTCTCCTCCTTCCCTCCTCCTCTTCTTCTCCCTCCTTTCGTCGTCTTCTTCCTTCCTCCTCCTCCTCCTTTCGTCTTCTTTTTCCCTCCTCGTCTTTTTACTCCATATTTTACCGCCCACCATCTCGCACATCCGCCAGCCATATTGTACCGCCTGCCATATCCTACTGCCCGCTATTGCCTGCGTTTTTTTTTCATGCCCCAAAAAAAGGACGTAAGGGGGCAGACAGCAGCCCTATTCACAACCGCACAGACTTCTTCTTCTTCTTCCCTTCTTCTTCTACTTCTTCTTCTTCTCCTTCTAATTCTTCTTCTTCTTCTTCTCCTCCTTCTGCTTCTTCATCTTCTTCTAATATTTTACTTTCTTTTTTCCCGCGCTGTTGGTCCTTGCATCCTCTACTTCCACGACACTATGGCGGGCGGTGGCAGTGGCGTTGGGGGGGGGAAAGGCGGGTCTGGAAGGACGAGAGGCAAAACAGCAGCAGACAAAGGGAAAGGAAAGTTGCAAGCACCTCCACTACAACCGCATCGACAGTGACCTCCAAAGACCCCATGCTGGCAATGGACCATTCGCTGCAACACACCCTTTTAACCCCTTGTCAACTCCCCCCACCCCCCACCCCCCCTCCCCCAACACACATGCCTTTCACAAGTTTCTCTGCGGATTCGGGCTCCTTTCAGCGAGCGCACTCCAACCCCATCTTCAA